TTTGTGTTCAAAATAACAAACATAATTTTAAAACTTTTTAGCATTTCTTCCGACTGGGTCTTAAGCAGATTTGTGTATTGCTCTTTCTTGATTTTAAATTTTGAGATTATCCGTCAAGATGAGAAATTATTTCATCGACCCCCCCCATACACATCCCCTCCGCTCTCCCCCGGTTCTCTCAGTTGGCAATTCTCAGTTTGATTAATTTGGCATTTACATAATTATTGGCATGTGAATATTATTCAAAGTGGATCTATTTAATGTATTATGATTACCTTTGCATTTTTGAACTTTTTTTTTTTTATCTAGAACGAATAAAAGAATTATGAATCTGTGTGGGTTTCTGTGTATCCCCGACAGAAATGAAATCTTTTATACACTTAAACCCTCCAGATCGTGGAATCTCTGTGTTTGGTTTTTCCCTGAAGGGAGAACCTTCTGTGGGTCCTGCTACCTCGGGGCAGTCTGCCGGGAAGCTCTCTGGGCTCAGACGGTACCGCTGCTGTTTTCAATTTCTTTTCACAGTTACCCGCGTGAGTTTCCCAGGTTTCCCTCACTCATCATTGGTCCCTCTGTTTTCAGGTTCCTCGACCTCTGTCTTTCCTTTGATGTAACCCCTTCCCCAAATCCCTGCCCTGGTTTCTTTTGGTGGAATACAGTCTCTTGATAAAAGGCTCCTGGTCGATACGTTTGAGAACTTGCTTATCCGAAAACGTCTTCATTATATTCTAACACTTGAACGATCGTTCAGCCAGTTATGGAATTTTACGTTTAAAATTTATTTTCTCTCAGAGTTCTGAAGACCTTGTTCTATTGTCTTGTAGCTTTTGGTGTTAACTCTGAATAGTCTGATTATCACTCTGATCCTCTTCTGTTCTCTGCTGAAGCTTTTGGGTCAATCTCTCTCTCTGATCACCAGTGTTGTAAAAGTTTTTTATTATGCGCTTTGGTGGAGATCTTTTTTCCCATTGATTTTTACTGGGCACTAAAATATTCTGTTCACACTGAAATACCTACATATTTCAGGTGTGGAAAGTTTTCTCGTACTGTTTCTTTTATAACTTTCTCCCCTTTGAGTTCTTTGCCCTCTCTTGTTAACATCTGTTATCTAGAATTGGACCTCAGTACTAAAACTGAATGACTTTTAAATCTTTTTTTCTAACATTTCCTGGCTTTCATGTTGCTCGGGTTTTTTTTGGAGATTTCTTTACCTTTCTGAATTTTCATAGCACCAGGCCTTTTTCATGGATATGATGTGGATATAATACTTCCTTTGTTATCTCTGAATATAATATTGTTGTTGCTACTGTTTTTTTCTTAGTTTAGGATTGATATTCAGACTATCTACATACTCCCATAGCGTGAGTACCACCCAATCAGAACAGAAATCAGTTTGCTGACAACGCACGTGGGCGTGTTGGTACTTACCTGCTGGACATCAGCCCTACGCCAGGAGCCTCTCTGTGTCAACAACGAGCTTGAGTGTAAAAAACACAAAAGCAACAGGAAAAGGGGCTGGTCTCAGCAGGTCCCCCTCTTTTCAGACAGTTTCCTGGGTCACAAGTGGTTCGTCTACACTCATGTTTTTTGTGTCCACCCAGTGGCACTTTCTGAGCCCTAACATGAAAGGAACCATGGGAAGTGTGATACTGTCATGGACAGAGATGCTGCCCCCAGGAGGCTCACAGCTGACCAGGACGCAGTGGGCAGCTTGAATAACCAGCCATAAAACACTACTGGACATCAGGGAGCGGGGACATACCAGCTCGCATGGGCGGCCTCCATGACAGGCCATCATTCCAACTGGACCCCGAGAGACAGGCAGGCTTTACTTACTTTAAACAAATTAATTAATTAAAAAGACTTTAAAAATATTGGGCGGCGCCTGTAGCTTAGTGGGTAGGGCGCCGGCCACATACTTTGGGGCTGGTGGGTTCGAACCCGGCTGGGGCCTGCTATAACAACAATGACAACTGTAACTAAAAAAATAGCCGGGCGTTGTGGCGGGCACCTGTAGTCCCAGGTACTTGGGAGGCTGAGGCAGGAGAATCACTTAAACCCAGGAGTTGGAGGTTGCTGTGAGCTATGACGCTACAGCATTCTACCCAGGGTGATAGCTTGAAACTCTCTCTCTCTCTCTCAAAAAAAAAAAAAAAAGAAATTAGTATTATTTTTGATTGACATGTCATAATCATATACATTTATGGGGTGTACTGGGATGTTTTGATATATGCATGCAACGTGGCGTGATGAAATCAAGCTAGTTAATGCATCTATCGCCCTCATTAACCTATCATTTTTGTGGTGAGACATTTGAAATTTACCCTTTGGTGTTTTGAAATATATAATAATGACCGCGGAGTGTAGTCACCCTGCCATGCCATAGATCTCCAAACCCATCCCTCCCATCTATCTGAAATTCTGTGCCTTCTGATCAACAACCCCCCATTTCCTACCCCCCTTCTCACCCCCAACCTCGTAACCATCCTTCTATGGGGCAGGTAGGCTTTAGACTTGTGGGAATGGGGCATTCCAGGCAGAAGAATTAGCACCAGGGAGGCCCAGAGGCAGGAAACAGTGGGTATACAGGCGGCGTAAGTGTTAGGTAGGTAGAGCTCCAGCTCGCCCAGGGAAAGAGGGCTAAGTGGGGTCTCTGCCTCGGGGCTGCCTGGAGCAAGGCCCCACCTGGGAAGAGGGGCCTGGAGCTGCCCCACCTCAATCCTGCCCTGAGCAGTTCCCACACCTGGGGAAGGAGAACCCAAATCTGCAGAAGAGTGCAGGGAACCCCCAGCCTCTACCCGGCAGCTCAGGTACAACAGGTTTGGCAAAGTGACCTGAGTAACCCAGGCTGATCACCATGTGGTTAACTGTCCACCACGGGGGTTCTGAACCCTGAGGAGGGCCCAGTCCAGATGTATAAAGCAGGGACCCAGACCGTGACCAGAGCCTTGGTTGTTGCTCTGGGCGGGAGCCTGTTCATCCTCTGTGGTGAATGTATATCCGGCTCTATCAACCATCTTTCTTTCCTCAGTGAACTCCGTTGTTTCACACTTGCCTGGCTTCTGGTGGGTCTGGTCCTTCTTTGATCAAGGCGCAGTAAGAATTGAGAATGCAGACAGCTGCCTGAACCCGGACACCTTAAAAAACTAGCTGAACTTTTTGAGTTTTTCCCAGACATGGCAGGAATTTTATAAGACAAAGGAGTTGAGACTCTGAAGGCCCCTGAGCAAGATTCCTGATGCCAAGAATCACGACCCCCATGACCTGCATGAGTGCATGGGACCCATGCCTGTGACCTGTCCCAATGACTGTGACCTGTACGGATGCATGTGACCCATGCCTGTGACCTGTCCCAATGACTGTGACCTGTACGGA